TCTCTCTCTCTCTCTCTCTCTCTCTCTCTCTCTCTCTCTCTCTCTCTCTCTCTCTCTCTCTCTCTCTCTCTCTCTCTCTCTCTCTCTGCTTTGAATGACAATGTGTTATGAGTCTGTCTCTCCTGTGAACCGAAGTAAACTCTTGTGATTTCCTGCGAAAGAGAACTTCTTCCGAAACTCTTCCATTAGTTTTCTGGGTAATCCCCGGATGCAAAGGAACTCAAGCATCTTGTCTTGTGAACAGTGGATGTGTGTGTACAATCCCCCGCTTTATTACTTATCTGTACACCATTGTCATTTTCTCACCTTCCACAATGGATGTATGCGTAGAAATGCTTGTATTTTTTCTGCGTTGATAAGACCCAGCGCTCGACGGGATTTTGTTCGAGAACGCAAAAGTGTTTAGATCTGTCGTTTTTGAAGACATTGCGCATGCCATCTGCCTTATACTGCACGACATCTGCAGACAGTCTATGGGGCAGCCTCGAAACAGCCAGGCGCCTCGGATTTTTGTCGATCTGATCTACTGAAACTGAGTCGCGGGTTGATCCCTCAAAACTTCAACCCGATTATTTGCATGGTTGCACGGGCTCTGAAAGATGTCTCCCTCGTGTCGAAGGGAAGGAAAATACTAGTTAAGTTCTTTTTCGATTGTGCTTTTTTATGACGTCTTGGCGTTTTTGCAAACTCATTTTGATTGATTGATATGTGGACTGACGACCGTACCTCGATAGGGCGCCAGCCTCCCGTATCTCCCTCGCCTACGCGCCCCTTCCCTTACAACAAGGAAAGGACACGTGTTTGTGAGTGAGATGTACGAGATGTTGTCGCACTGATCGGTGAACGATATTACTTCCCTCCCAAAAATCGTTGTTCTGGATTCGTGGACGCGGGCTTTGTCATTATCGATACACATTTCCCGCCTTACTCATTGTTATTGCCATTTAACGAGTTGATCGTCATTCCGTGGATGGCAGTGGCGCCCCATTGGCCTCGAACCCTATGCACGAAGTGCCATCGTTCCGATCGCTAAGAATCAAAGGGCTTCCACTACCGGATACAGAGTGAAGACGAGCATAAGGAAAGAGCCACGTGACTGAGACCCTCCACGTCGGACTCGGAACTGGCCGATGAGCGACGTCGGGACTCGATACGGAAACGGGGCACGCGGAGTGTACCGAAGCCCTTCCACTCTAAACGAAGATCCACAGCGTGGTGGGAAGTTCGACAATACTTTTTAGATTGAATTCGGATTTTTCTCTTTTCGCGCCGTGCCCGCGCGCGCATTCCGCGATGCGCGAACAGGAAGCAACCGACTTACTTCATCTGACCAACACGGGGGATTTCAGTTATGTTTGTGTCCCCACACTCAATTTTCCAAAAATCCTTGGCACACCCCATCTTGCTGTTTTTCTGGGCCTTCTTTTTCGCACCCTTAGCACTCCGAACGAAAGACAGCACAGGGCGTGAGGTTGCGCGTCACAGCGGCAATCGGTTTCGGAAGTTCGGAGGCAACTTCCGAGACCCCACATACAGATTTTGCCGCCATAGAAGTCGTCGGCTGACCGTTTCCACTTGGTCCGCGGGCCCCTTATTCCTACGTGGCCCTGAATTCCCGTTTTCCAAAAGTCGGTCCGTTTACCTACCTCCCGGGTGCGTACTCCGGCACATGCGGACGGAAGTCGCAGCCCTTCCATTACAACCAATGGCAAGGGGCCTGGAATGGCCTTCCAAGCCCCGACCTTTCCCAAAAAGGAAAACTGCCCCGGAATTTCCTTTTTGGGCGACCGCCTCCGAAGCAAAAGCAACATTTCGCGGTGGCGGTGGGGTCCCCTCTGTCTCTGTTTCATCATCTCCGTTGGCGGTGGGCAGTCAGCTGGAAGTAGAAGACTTCCGAAACCGTTTGCCGCCACCCTGTGGGGTCCTACCCTTATTTATGGACGTGATTGCGGCCAGATCCATCCAGGTCCGGCTGTGATTGGAGTCAGACGCATTTTGCTCCCCACCAATAGAATGGAGTCCCCTGCATGACAAGAAG